AGCCCTTTAGTAAACATCTTTGTCATTTCTTCCTGAATCTGTATTTCCCTAAGGCTGTTTCATTCTTCAGCCACAAGCAAGCTGTCAATTACATGGACAAATGACAGGTTTGACGGGCACCTAGCTGGTAAGGTTCTGATGTGGACAACCTGAGGAAGGAGATTGGATAAATTCTCTAGGGATGGCTTTGTTTGACAGAGAATGCAGGCTTTAGGGTCATTCTTGGTTTGTTCTCAGCTGTTCTAATAACTTACTGAGGAGTAATAGGTGTGTCCCTGAACTTAGGCCATACTTTCCTCATTTTTGAAGAGAACATTGAGGTCCTGGTGAGAGGGGCTGGTGAGGTGATTTGTAAGGTTTCTTTCTGTTGAAAATGTTTTATATCACCTGCCCCTGATGTAAATATATGCAATAGAAGTGGCTAAATTAATTGCACAGTTGTGTCCTAGTCATCAACAGTGTGTTCTTAATAGCTGCTTTAAAAAGGCATATTTGTCTTAATACTTCATAAGATGGATCAAAACAAAACACATATTACTTTGAAACACTTGCCTATGGTAAACTAAAGTGGAATAATCTCTGAACAATATTTTATTTAATTAATTCAACAATTAGCAAGTGCTATATTTCCAGCCTAGTTCTATGCAGTGGGGATTCATAATGAACAATGGAAAAAAGCATGCTTTCAAGGAACTTACATTCCATTCCAGCATTTGTGATTGTGTGTGTGCCTAGTCATATTTTTTAAATCCATGGTTTTGCAAATGCAGAGAAATATTAATCAGATTAATTTCTAAGCACCACCCAGGGAAGTCACAGTGTGATTTCTCCCCATGTGTGATATGCAGCCAGTGAACTAATAGGGTTTTGCAGTTTCACACTGTAAATCAGAATTTTGGGGGATCCTCTCTCTGGAACAGCTATATTACATTTGGATCCAAAATACAACCCTCTCTCTTTGGAGGACTCACTGTGTTGAGGGTTTGGTTGTTAATGAGCTTTTGGGAAATGATTGAATGATGGAGGCTCTAACTTCATCGATGAATTAATCCACTAATGAGATCATAACTTGATGGCATTGATGGAACTTAGAAGGTGGGGCCATTTAGAGGAGATAGGTCAATGGAGGCATCCCTTCACAGGGTATATCTTTTATCCGACTCTTCCCCCTTCTCTGCTTACTGGCAGTCATGAGGTGGGCAGAATTCCCCTGCCACGCCCTTTTGCTATGATGTTTCTGCCTTGAAGCCATTTTACTATGGACTGAAACCTCTGAAACTGTGAGCTGAACAAATCTTTTCTTCTTTAAATGAATTTATATCAGGTATTTTGTCACAGTAATGGAAAGTTGACTAATATAAGTAGTTTGGGTAATATGTATAATGTGGTATATATCCATTAAAGAAGAAGGGTATTTTGTGTTTTTAAAAGATGGCTTCTTCAAAGTTTCAGCTGGTGACATTTTTATCCAAAAGAGTGACATCCATTATCTAAAAGCATTTTAATTTTCATAAAAATGGATGGAACTGGAAGACATTATATTAAGTGAAATAAGCCAGACACAGAAAATACAAATATTATATATTTTCACCCCTGTGTAGAAGCTAAAAAAGTTGATCTCAAAGAAGAGAGTGGAAGAGTGATTACTAGAGGCTGGAAGGGTGGAAGCAGAAAAAGGGAGATTGGACAATGGATACCAACATATTGCTGGTTAGGAGGAATAAGTTCTAGTGGTCTATACCATGGTAGAGTGACTGTGGCTTATAACAACATGTATATTTTTTGAGGAACTAGAAAAGCGGAATTCTAAGTCTCCAAACACACACACACACACACACACACACAAATGATAAGAAGATGGAAATGCTAATTATATTGACTTAGTTATTACACATTGTGTACATTTATTAGATTATCATGCTGTACCCCATAAATATGTACAATTATATATCAATTGCAAAGAAAAAGGGCTGGGTGTGATGATGCATGCCTGTGATCCCAGCACTCAGGAGGCTGAGGACAACCTAGGCTACATGGTGAGTTCAAGACCAGCCCAGATTACATAGTGAAATACCGTCTCAATAAAAATTTAAAACAAGAAAAAGAAAATTGTAATAAAATAGTAAAAACATCATATATATGTATATTTATATATTCAAAATACTTCATTCTCAAGAAGGATCTCTGAAGTCAGGTAGTTTGTTGAGCAACGTTACCTAAAAAGGACTGGGTCCTTTCCTAGGGCTATTTATATTTGTTTTGGGGGATTAGTATATATATGTATATGTATATATGTATATATGGTACTGGGAATCAAACTTGGGCTCTTGCACTTGTGAGGCAGGCAGTGGAACCACTGAGGTAAATCCCCAGCCCAAAGAGCATATTTATAATGAAAATTTGGGGAAGAAAGCCTAAAGACATTTACTTTGGACCCACATTGGCTGTAGATAAGAGAGACCTCATAACATGAAACAGGGAAGGGTTTGGGGTAGAAGAACAGGTTATAAGGAGAAAAACTCATTGTTTCTGAGTTGGTTGGAGCTGGAAGCAGGATGAATGGTGTCCAGTGGTTGGTGGCCTGGGGTTCAGTCAAGGTTTTAGTAGACAGGAGTATGAAATAGTCTCTGTTGGTTCGGCCCACAGTGGTTCACTGAATGATTTTTCTTATCTCACGAGCTTCCTCCATCTTTTGGCTCTTGTAATTAAAGTTAGGACATCTTGGAATTTTTCTTTTATGTATGCACAGCAGCATTTCCAGGTTGAACATAGTGAAACAGAGGTTTTCTTAGATCCTCTCTTCTAAATGATCTTCTGTGCGGTGGAGTTACAGAATGATTGGCTCCAAGTCCTGCTGTGGGATGATAGTATATGGTCATTAAGAGCATGGCTCTGGGATTAGGTTGAGTTTGGCACCCATTTGTAGCACTTCCTGAGTGACCCTGGGCAAGTTAGTCTTGCAAAGTGTCAGTCTCTCTTTCTTTTATCTTTAGAAGAGAGGCAGTGGTCATCTCTATTTCCTAGAGCTGTTGTGAAGATCGCATGGAACTATGCCCTTGCGTTGTCGGTTTGCCTGTGAACAATGGAATGGTTCACACTGAAGTTTCATCATAGTCCTGCTTTCCTTAATACCCTTGTGTTTCAGTCAGTTCGGGCTGACATATGGTACCACTGAGTGAATGGCTTGTAAACAACAGAATTTTTTTCCTCTCCGATCTGGAGGCTGGGATTCTGAAATCAGGTTGCCAGCATGGATGGGTTCTGGTAAAGGCTGTCATCCAGGTGGGGGGCTGCTGCTAACTTTTTCTTATCTCTCACGTGGTAGAAAGAGTGAGAGAGCTCTTTGGGACCTCTTTCAGAAGGGTACTAATCCCATTCATGACTGCACCACTCTCATGATATAATTATTTCTCAAAGACCCTACCTCCAAACACCATCACATTGGGAATTACATTTCAAGAGGTCAACTTTGGAGTTGCATCCAGTCCATGGCAACTGGGACATACAGGTGGGTTGGCCTCAGTCACTTTGACACCTGGACTTCATCAGCCGTGGCCAACACCTGAGAGTTACAGTGTGTCTCTGCTCATAAACACAGGACAGGGCCACACTGAAGTGCTCCTTTGTATTTCTTCAGAGAACCAGTGGTCTTTGCAGACCTTTAGTCTGATGATAGATTTTGGAGCCGCCCAACCCCCTGCCCCTCGCCTCCAATCCTCTTGCTCTGCCCTGGAGCAGGACAGGCACAAATAAGAAGCTGTCACCCAGGAAGGAATCGTGTGCTCACAAGTCTATTGGCTGTCTCTATTCCTTACTGGGCCTTTGAATGTGGTAATAATAATTTTAAAAAAGATAATACTTGCTTAAAAATAGATGCTTTTGGAAACTCATGCTCTGTCTGCAGTTTGCTGCTAGGACTCTATCATTCTCAAGCCTGTTGTGATTCCTCAGGGAACCAAAATATCTTTACAGTAGTTCTCTGTGGTCAGGGGATCTCTGAGGGTCCCTGAGACCCTTCTTTCAAGGGATCCATGAGGTCAGAACTATTTAAATAATCACACCAAAATGTCACATGTCTTTTTCACTCCCATTCTCTCTGGAGTTTTCCAGAGGCTACCCAGTGTGTGATATCGCAGTGGACTGAGTGCAGAATTGAGGACGGGAACTTAGCTGTCTGCTGCTAAACCAGATACGAGAGACATTTGCAAAACTGTAAGCTGAGTCTACTCTTCTACAGGAAACATTTTCATAGAAATTTCTGTTAACATGCTTTCTCCATGCAAGAGTTATGTATGCTTAGATTCTGTGTTCAGGGTGAAAGGAACTAACCGGTCCACATACAAGAAAACACTACACCAGTCTGAATCAGGCTCCCCTCAGATCCAAGGAAAGTCACCTCTTTTGGTCCACATAGTAGTAGACTGCTCTCTAGGGCCATTTTGGTTCCAGATATTATGACACTTGCTGGCATCTTTCCCATCAGGTCTGGGAACTTCCTACAGGAAGTTTTATCAGTCAAATCTTACCTAAATGTTAGTGAAATATCAACCATGTGTGCCAAACAGCACTGTAGGGAGAGTCAGGTGAGAGAGTTACTGTGAAAATGCACTGAAAACTGAAAAGCTCTAGTTAAATAGGAATTTTAACAAGGGTCTAAAATGCACAATTGTGGACACATATAGCACACAAAAGACATAATCTAAAAGTGAGTCACTTATTGAAGTATCCTGATATTTTATTAATTTATATCTAACGAGAAAGAGAATATGTAATTATATGCACAAAAATCTTCAATATATCTATATGACACCAGCTCAGGGATTTATAGGTACTCATTTTAACATATGAGACTTTTCCTAATTATAAAAATAATATCTGTTGTAAAAAAAATTGGCAAATACGGAAAAACATAAAAAGAGCAATAGAAACCAACCATAATTCTATCCCCTTACTGAATAATTTTTAACATTTTTGGTAACTCTTCTTTGATTAAAAAATTGTTAGATATGTTTTACATGATTGATGTCATATTAAATGGTTTTATGTTCTGCTTTTTTACTGAACTTTGTCTTAGAAACATTTGCCCATGGCATGACAAGTTCTTCATGAATGTGAGTGTGATGACCACTTCGTTTCCTCCCCATACCTGAGGACTGTTTGTTAACAGGCTGTGTACCTTGTGACCTGGATGGGAAACTGAAGGAGACACAGCAAAGCCAAAGGAGGTCTAAGTCCCCAAGGCTGATGAATCAAGGTCTGAGTTCCTTCCAAGTGGGAGCGTTCCAGCTCTGAGCAGGCTCCTTTTGAAAGTAGAGATTTTCCTGCTTCAGCCAAGGACAATCAGGCCCAGCCATTGTCAGTGTCAGAAGGTTTTTACGTGAAGGTTAGCCCAGATGTAAGGATTTCTAAACGGGGGACGTTGGTCAGTAGATTGTTTACTCACTGCTGGTCACACACCTTTTCAGGAGCATAGGTGACTAAGAGTCAGGCTCCCCTAGTAGGAAACTATTTTGAGCAGCTTTGGGTATTTTGTCTAGTGGCTAAACATGGGCATCAAAAAAGCAAAACCAAACAACAAAAGGAGAAATCACCCCTAGATAGATGGTAAAGACAGCACTTTAAAGTCATCAGGGGCCTTCACATAGCCAGTAGTCCCAGCCTTTGCCCAGCTGTTCATGTTGGTATAAAATAGGCAAAAAGGAGAAAGAAGAAAAAAGGGTGGGGTGGAGGTGCCCCAAGTGTAGTTCTTTGAGAAGTGGATTTTCAAGTTCAAAGTGCTCCTAGCTTCCTTCTTCTGAAGAGGCTCATTATAACATGGGGTAAGTGATGACAAAATAGTTAATCCCTGAATCAATGAGATCTCTGTACTTCCGGTGAATTTCCCGCAAGGTCCTGTCCTCTTCATTAGTCTCATATCTGTTTGTATAAATTCTTACCTGCACCAATAAAGAAAAAAATCCCTCAACACACAGAGTGACTACATCATCCAGGACCCAACAATGATCTAAATGATCTATACCTTCAGCTGCTGGCAGGATCAGGAAAAGCCCAGACCCAACTATGGTTGCCTTGGTGTCTGTGGGTTAGTGGTTCCAGGACTTTCCATGGATACCAATATCCAGGGGGCCTCACGTCCCATGTATAAAATGCATGGCACACTATTTACCGAGAACTTGTGCACATCCTCCTGTATACTTTATCTCTCAGGTACTTATAATACCTAATACAATGTGAATACTGTGTAAATAGTTGTACTCTGTTACTTAGGGAATAATAACAAGAACAGCACAGATGCCATTTTTAATCCCTAAAAAATGTGCAATTCACAGTTGGTTGAGACCATAGATGTGGAGCGCACGGCTATGGCAGGCTGGTTGCACTAAGGGAGCTGTAAATCCCTTTCTGTGAAATCACTCCCTGCCAGTGGACAGATTCAGGTGTACTGGCTGTCCCTGCTTCCCTCCTCACCCCTGACCTCCATCCTGGGGGCCATGCCCAGATGCCCTGCTCTGTCCCACAAAACCAGCCAGGGGCCCTTACCTTGAATGTGCGCAGGGCACACTGCCCCTCCTCCTGGCTCTTCAGGATCCGCTCCACAAATTTAACATCAAGGAAAGCCCAGATTTTGAAGTAAAATAGCCTCCTGCAGGAGAGGATGAGGAGGTGCAGCTCTTCATCGAGCGACTCATGGTTGTTGTTGAATTCAAAAGTTAATTTCTGGAAAAGCACCAAAGGGGAAGTTGCGTGCGTGCGGGGACTGGCTGGGTCATTCTGTAACTTCTTGATCTCTTTATGGTTGAACTTTGGGCCTATTGCTGTGATGGTTTAGGAGTTTTTTTTAGATGGGGAATGCTAGATGTTTAGTATTTAAGGAAGAGATCTGAGAATGACCGTGGTCTCACACAAGTTTGTAAAATCTAGAATTTGGAAGCAGACTGTTGGGAATCCAGAGACCAAGGAGTTGGTCTCAGCCCTGCAGTGGAGTGGCTGTGTGACTGTGGGCAGGCCACCAGACTTTGAGTTCTTCAGTAGCACTGAGATGGTCCACCCTGCCTGCCTCAGAGTTATGTGACTACAAATCAGCTATTGGAATCTTATAACCCATCCATACTGGCTGTGGCATTTATTCCTATTAATGTCAATTGTGACAATGATGACAAGGCCCTGAGGAATGTCAAAATAATCCCGATTTTATAGGTGGTAAAACTCACATTATGGTACATTCCAGGACCTCTGAGCTCTTTGCTGGCCTAAGTTAATCTTGGGTTTTTGTCTGTTTTTTTCTGGGCACTGCTGGAACCAGACAGTTCCCTTGCTCAGTGGTGACTGTAGGTGACAGCTAGGAGCCACATGATCCCCCATGACCTTGTGGAGAAAAGGTCACCTGCAAGTCTCCTGGCTCAAGCTTCACACCTCTGAACTATGGGTATCAGGGCTTTTCTTGGTTTTGCTTGCTTTCAAATTTTATTTTATTTTATTTTGGTACTGAGAATTGAACTCGGGACTTTACACTTGCTGCTGAGCTCCATCCCTGTGCTACATCCCCAAGCTATATCCACTGTGCTGCTAAGCTACATCCCTGACCTGGGGCTTTTCTTGGTTGACCACCAACCAGACATCCCTTATATCTCGTGTAGAAATTGAGCAGCAGCAGTTTTTGTTATCTGCTGTGATCTTGAGGACATGGGATGGCTTAGTCTGGTAACAATTCATACGCACCCAGTGTGGGATCAGCAAGCTTTCCTTTGGGGAAACAGGTTACCTGATGGTAGTTGCTGCTTGTAAGCCTGTCGTGGGCCTCACTTCCTACTTACCTGCAGAGTGTGCCGGAAAGTAGGCAGGAGGTCTGTCAGAGTGGGCCGCATGGACCAGTCAGGGTCACTGAAATAGCAGCTTCTCAGGCTTATGCTCCTGATGGGGATCTCCTGCAGGAGGATGCGGACCAGGCGCTCGTATTTCATGACACGCTCGAAGAAGAAGTTCACCTTCAGGTTGCTGGCTTGCCTGGCCAGCTTGGCCCAGGACATGCCCCAGATGACTTGGCCATGGGGGTCATGAATGTGACATTTGATATTCATGGTCCGGAGGGTACTGGCATTGTTATCGGCCAAGTTCTCGAGCAGCTCATCAGAAATACAGTTGTAGTTGAGTGTCAGGAATGCCAGGTTGTGGAATGTGGCCATGGTCTTGTTGAACTGGGGGCTGCTGTAGACAGTCAGGTGATGGCTGAAATAATCTTCAATGTTAAGGTCCGAGGCAGTGCTCTCATTCCGTAGGTAGCTCAGGGAGTTCAGTACCTGGCAGCCCTGCTCCACAGTCAGCCTGGCCCCTTTCAGGCTGAGGGAGACCAGGTACTTGCCCATTTTCTTTAAGAAGAAGCTCAAGCTTTTGATGAGCGAGTTCCTGATACTGTTCCTCCAGACCAGGCGATCTAGTTCCAGGTGCTGGATGGAAAGCTTCTTCAGACGGTTGTTACTTCTGCCCAGGGATGAGAGAAGACCTCTCATGGTGATCTGGAACTTCTTGGTCAAGACAGCATTGTAAGGATTCAGGAATTTGATCTCTAGACATTCCAAATAACGACCAAATTTCTTAACATACCAAAGAGCTGACTTGAATTCTGATGCGTGCACCCTGGACGGCCTCCCGCTGAAAGTGATGGTCCTGTATCGCCAGAGATCTGCTGAATACATCATCTGGTTCCACTTTTTGCACACCAGGGCTGCCCTGGATCTATCTCTGTCCCCCAGCCACCAGAAAACATGGCGCAGGCACACATCAGGCAGAGCGGCCCAGAAGCTCTGGTCTTGGGGCTGGATCAGCTCACTTCCTTCATCCATCAAAGAATGGAGAGGCACAGTGCAGCTGTGTGGTGAGCAGGACTTCCTAAAACAAGGAAAGAAAAATAATCACTTGTTTTCTGTAGAGAGTAATAAGGAAGAGCTATTACTGGCCAAACGGGAATTAGACTCAGTTGCCCAAAATGTCTCTGTGGTTCTACGAGTACAGCATTAGGTGCAGTGTCTCATGCAGGTGGCTTGGTGTTCACATCACAGCCCACCCATGTCACAGCACACCTGTAAGGATTCTGCAGATCGCCTGGGGACATGGATCAGCACTCAGTTTCAATACAGTGACAGAAGAGAAAAGGTCCTGGGTACTGTGATCCTGGGCAAGGAAGGCACAAATGGGTGAGACTGTGCCTAGGTAAGGAGGAGGTGGAGAGGGTTGCTCAGAGGAGCTGATCCCTAAACTGGGTTTTGAAGGTGAGTGGGATCTGTGAGGCAGACCAGGTTGGCCTAGTGGTGGTGGGGAGAGAATGGATGCCTTCCAGGCAGAGGAACGGTATGTGCAAAGCACAGAACTGTGAATGCGTGTCCTACTAAAATTTGTTTGGGGACTAAAAAAAAATGTTTGGAGGTCTGAACTTGTTAGTGAGCAGGGAATGGAGGCACTGGAGGCCATGGGTGAAGCAGAAGATGCTGGATCAAGGATGTGGTAGACTGTCCATGGTCTCCTCTCCTGAAGTCTTAGGAATTCTGACAGAGCTTTTGGGATGAGGGTCACTGTATGCCTGGGGCTGCGTTTTGCTGACGGTTGGGTCTATATTCAAGAGGTATAAGCAGCAGAACAAGGTGAAGAACCTCAGCTGGGGTCCTGGAGAGCCGTGGAGTGGGAGTCACCTGGGTGGAGATGGTGCAGTCAGTCTTGAGGGTGTGGAGGAGGAATGGCGAAGAGCAAGCCCGGGATGATGGTGGGAATGAGGATGGGTCTGTCAGTTCCTCTGAGGACACTGGTAGCTGGTAAAGGCAGAACTAGGGAGGACTGAAAGGTTTCCGACTGGCTGTTGTCTTGTAAGTGACCCTACCACCCAGGCCCAGGGATCCAAAAGTGGGGCTGGCCAAGAACTGCCCAATACGTGGATCCATCAGTCAGATTTTATAACCACTTGCACACATTTCAAAGCTTCCCCTGCTAAAAAATTTCTCTTAGTTTCTTTGCCTCTCTCCAACCCCCACACTTCCAGATCCAAGCCTCACCACTCTACACATCCTTTACTGGATACTTTCCCAAGCAAATCCAAGATTATTGATCATGGCCAATAAAACCACAGGGCTGGAAATAGACCTGAGAATTTCTTTCTTTTCAGAGACCAGAGAGGCAAAGTGAATTACTTGTGGTCACACAGGCAGTTAGTAACAAGTTCCGGGCTAGAAACTTGGCTTTCTCTTTCTGCTGGACTTTTTTCCTACACCCACTTCCTGGACCTCAGGTGCTGGGGGGCAAATTAACCACATTTCCTAATCCACAATAGGTATTATTTGTGCATGACACCTCTTTGGTTTTATGTATTCACTTATTCCCTTTTAACTTTCTGTCCCATTCCATTGCCCCCTTCCACACACCACAGGCAACGGAGTTTGATGTAAGTCTTTCTGTTTGTCAAATGTGTGTTGGATGTCTGGCTTGAACCCTGTGACTCTGTCATCTCACCCACTGTGTCTCCTGAAGAGGACCTCTGGTCTCCCTGCCTTTCCTCTGCCCTTTCTCTCCTGTGGTAGCCCTAGGCCTTCTCCAGCTCCCACCAACATCATAGCGGCAGTGAGCACCCACAGGGAGTGTATGTGTGGGCCTTCCTGGGGGCCTTCTCTGGGCCTTTATTCCCACTCCCCTTGTTCTCTCACTGCCCACTGAGCAGAGTAGCCCCCCTTCCCGCTGGCTCTCATTGCCGAGCTGGCCAGCTTTCTCTAAGGGATAGAATAGCGGCCGCCCCTGACGCAAGGATCCAGGCAGTTCTGAGTCCCCACATCCACAGTCAGCCTGTCCCCCTCTCTACCCCTTCTGGCCAGCAAGCCATCCCTATCTGCATCCTTGTCTTCTTTCAAAGGGCCACACACTCTGTGGGGCTCATGACATCCTCACTCTTCAGGCAGTGCTTAAACATTTAAGAAATGAGAAAACTGGGGTGTTTCTTGTATCACCTGTAAAGGGCCCAAGCCTGGAGGCCTCTGCTATGCACAGCATGAATGAAGGTGTGGAAAGCTGCACTGAAAAATTAAGGGCAGCAGCGTAGCTCAGTGGTAGAGCACTTGTTATCATGTGTGAAGCCCTGGGTTCCAACCCTAGCATGAGGGGGAAAAATCTAAAGTAAAAATCACAGGCAAAGTCAGGTGAGAATCATCAGACATGTAAGCAGTAGGGATGGGCTGGAAGAATTTCTTTCCAGGACTAGGGATTGAACTCAGGACCTTGCCATTTGCCAGACAGGCAGCTACATCCCCATCCCTGGAAGGATTCTTGATGGGCTAGAAAATTTTTTTCAAGGATGCCCCAAATCACACACACACACACACACACACACACACCCTGTTTGCACACACACACACACACACACACACACACCCTGTTTTGAGTTCCTCCAAACCCCCTATTACCAGGAAGAGGCAGTGTAGCTTAGTTGGGAAGATTCAATGATCTGGTGTAGGGAAAGCCCAAAAACGTGCCTAAAACATAGGAAATGCCGTAAAAGTGCCAGCTGCCATTTGTAATGCTGGGGCCAAGATATTTCTGTTGCAGGCCTGCCCAGAAGATATGAATGCACCCATTTCACAAATGGGGAAATGGAGGTCTTGGAAGGTTAATACGGTTTCTCAAAGTGGGTAGGTGGGATTTTTTGTAGACAGAGTCTTACTATGCAGTTCAGGCTAACATTGAACTCACTATGTAGCCCAGGCTGACCTCGAACTCGTGGTGATCCTCCTGCCTCATCCTCCCAAGGGCTAGGATTACAGGCGTGTGCCACCGTACCTGGTGGGAGGTAGGATTTGAAACCAGCCTAGGACTCTCAAACCTAGGCTTGTCTCGCTGTAATATGTAGCTGCCAACAGGGAAGAAAACTTAAGGATATCCCATCACCCAAGCAGTGTGGAGGTAGCCAGAGAACCCGTAGCCAAAAGCCACTTCCAGGAGATTGGCCCCCTGGCGCCCCATCGCCACCTGGCGCTTACCAGTTACCGGCTCGTTGTGCCCCGCTTGCTCGTTTGGGCTGTGCGGGGTCTGGACCCACTCTGCCAGCCCGCTGCTGCTCGGTGTCAACTCTGCAAGCATCCGGGGGGGACGGGGGCTGGACGGGGGCTGCCCCCGCTCAGCTGCTCCGCTAAATGCTCAGCCAGCGTTGCGCCCCCTTTGTGACGCCTCGCAGTCCCGGGGCTCTGCTCAGCCCCACAGTGCAAGGAGCGCAACCGAGTAGCCAGATCAGTGGACTGTGTGGGCAAGGGTCTTGGGAGGCGCCGCGCCCTTCTGGCATGCAAGGAAGTTCTGTTCAGTCCACCACCGGTCTAGTCCTGACCCTGCGCCTGGAGCCTCGCGAGGCCCTGTATGTGCGTCTCTCTTTAGGAAGCCACGCCCGGTATTCTGCTTTTCTCTCCTTAGGCAAAGTCCCTCCTTGGAAAGCCTTAAGCAAACCTGACAGGTCCTTAACAAAGCCCAGGAACGCTTTCCCGTTTCCAATTTTAGGGGTGGGGTGGGCCACACCTAGCCTACCCATTTCCTTGGCCCTTCTCTGCCTTGTTAGGAGCCTGGGTCCCAAGCCCCCTCGCCAAAGCCTGGGCCGAAAGGTAAAGCGGGGGTAACCTACGGGTGGATAGCATCTTCAGGCTTCCCCAGCCCCCTTCGCTCCCAAAGCCTTCCAGGCAGCGTCACCACCCCGGCCTCCTCTCTCCCTGGTGTTTCTCCTCCTTTTCCCATGGCACCTCCCTCCCTTCCTCCTCAGCTGCATCCTGCTGTCCCACCACCTCCTGCCAACCCTTCCCCTGGAAAACCGGTGAGGAATCCAAGAAGGTGAACAGGAAGCTTTCAAGGAAAGTGTTTTTATTCTTCAGGAACAAAGCTGGGGGTCTCTTAGGCACCCCAGCTATTGATCCTGGAAGTTTAATCAGAATGCCCAGCCAGAAGAACCAGAATCTTTTTTTCTCCTGGTTACCTGGAGCCCTTGCACAAACCAATGTCTTTATTCAAAAGAGGGAACACAGCCAAAGTGCAACCTTTTTCTTCTAAATAGAAAGGATGGGATGGGAATAAAACCCATCTCTTTTCCCAAGCAGAGACCACCATGGAAAGAAAGCCGGGAAGCTGATGCAAACAGGAAATCTTCCCAATTCACAGTACCTCTTCTTCCCACATCTAGCTGGCTTTTCTCACTTGCTCTCCTTTTGAGGAAGCTAACCATTTGCATTTTACCTAAAGAAAGGAATATTAAAAAGTTCAGTATATTCTGAGGAGGAAGTTCTAGTTTCTGAAATAACTCTGGATATTTCTGTTCCCTGCTCCCAAACAAAAGCCCCGAGTTACAGGTGCCTCGAGACTGCAGGGAAGAAGCATCGAGCCCACCAATCTAGGAGAGGGGCAGGAGGCTTTGGATGGTGTTTAACAGTGGCCCATCATCATCCGGGCCTCAAAGAGCAGGAGAGTACTGTGCACCTACAACCCGAACTCCTGTGTAACGGTTAAAGACAAGCCACACATTATGATGTAAAGAAATGTGTACAAGAGTACTCCAGACATGTATGTTTGTGTCTGTTTGATAACAGGATTGCCAAATACAATGAAGGGTGCTCAATTCGAATTTCAATTTTAGAGAAAGAGTCACTGCATGGGACACAGTTACGCTTTTAAAAAATTGTCAGGCATGATGGAACACCCCTGCAATTCCAGCTCTTCCAGAGTCTGAGGCAGAAGGATCACAAGTTCAAGGCCAGCCTGGAAAACTTGTGAGACTCTGTCTCAAAATAAAAAAGAAAAAGGGCTGAGGATGTAGCTCAGGGGTAGAGCATCTCCCCCAACACCCTGGCCCCTGGTTTAATTCCACAGTACTGCCTAATACTAATACAAACACTAATACTAATAAATCCTCTTGTTTCTCTGAAATTCAAATTTGTCTGGGTAACCACTAGTTTCATTTGCTAAATCTGACAACCTTATTATATAAAGGTGGGAAAGAAACTGAAAAAGGTGGGAGGCAAGAGAAAATGGCCCTTGAAAGACAAAATTAGTCCATTTTTGTAAAATTACATGCTTATATCTATCTATCTATCTATCTATCTATCTATCTATCTATCTATCTATACATACACATAAAGAAGTTCAAAAAATACTTAGGCCTCCCTAATACTTGGGCCTACCATATGTTAAATGAAGAAGTCAAATGAAAGAGTAATGAACACATTAAGTAGTATATATGGAAAAAGAAACAAGAAATTTGTTAGAGTTTATGTGAGAGAAAATAAAGATTCGGAAGGATACCCACAAGGCTGCTGAAATTGGTATCTCAGGGCATGGCATTGGAATAGGTATGGGGAATATGAGCTTTGCTTTTATTCTTTAAGCTACAACATATCTTCTTTATTATGTACAACAAAATTGAATACTCTAGTATTTAAAAAAATACCAAACAAGGCATCTAAGCCAGAATTTAAGAACAAAAGCTTTGGAGCTATACATGTGGAGTCTGTACTAGACTTGTCCACTCTCCCATTGTACAGTCCTGGAGAAGGAACTCTACTTCTCTGTCTAGTTTCCTTCTCTTTAAAATGAGGATAAAACACCTATTTATTGCTTATAACGAAGACTGTATCATTTATCAAGAACTCTGTATTATAACTGGCACACAGCGGTTAACTATCTCTAAGGCCAGTTCTTATTGTTACAAGAAAATAATCTGAGATGGAAAAGATGAGGATTTTGAGGAATACGGCTGTCACCTTGATGTGCTGGAGGCTATAGCCAGCACTGGACTTCCTACCGGGAGCAAGACATTTCTGCTTTCTGGGCCTCAGCTGCTTTATCCATACCTCGAGGGAGATGCAGTGGCCACCCTCAGCTTCATTCATTTACCCCACAGTTTTGGAGCACTTGCTGTGTGCATCAGCCCTTGGGTGAGGAGCCGGAGACACAGAAATGAGAGATCTGGCTCTACCTTCAAAGGTGATGTAGTTGTGAGAGGTGACACAAGAAAAGCAGGTGTCAAGTGCCACAAGAGAGTGCACTTGGACACAGAGGGACAGGGAGACAGGGAAGGTCTCCTCAGTGGCTACTCCTCAGGGGCAAACATCCTGCAGATATTTGATATTTAATATACTGCTGGGCCGGGGATTTTAGCTCAGTGGTTCCACCGCCTGCTTCACAAGCACAAGGACCCAAGTTCGATCCCCAGTACAAAAAAAATAAAAGATACCGCTCAGCTGGTTCATAGCCAGGTCGGGAACAGAGACTGGATACCTGGTGTTGCATGAGGGTGGGCAGGGGAAGCAGGATACCACACTGTGAACACCTCCTCAGAATGTCATAGGCTGCCTCCTCGTTTTCTGTAGGAGAGGCAGTCCTTGACTTGAGATCAGAGTTTGAAGGCAGATCCGTGGCTCTGCTTTTCTCTCTTGGTGCTTGTTTTGTTGAACGTTCAGAAGGAAGAGGATAGCTGTTTATATTTTTTGTCTTTGGACGGACATCTGTCTCTGCTGTGGGAGTTTGATTTCTACCAGCCCAACTTGGAAAGGATCTAAGCAGGTTTTTCAGGGGGGCTGAGGCTGCGGAACAGTCATCCTGCAATTGTATGACAGCAAATGAAACAAAACAAAATGGCTTTAGATTGAACAGTTGGAAGGTATGCTTGACTAGATAACCTGGAAACTTCCCATTACAAATACTTAGAAATGATGAATAAAATATAACAGCCCTTCAAGATAAGAGTTGATGGCAAGAAAGAAAACCTTGAGTTCCAGAAATGAAGGCCTGCCTAGTTGCTATCCAAATTTTCTGTGTTGACAGGTGATAGTGTTAAAAGGTGGGGCTATCAAGAGGACTTTACAAGGTTACAAGGGTTCCTTATTTATTCATGTGATTAAGGATTTTTTTTTTTTTTTTTGGCAGAGCACCAGGGGTTAAACCCAGGGCCTTCACACTAAACTACATCTCCACTTTTTAGGTGTTTAAATTTTCAGACAGGATCTCACAAGATCCCTAAGTTGTCCAAGCTGGACTTGAACTTGTGGTCTTCCTGCCTCAGCCTCTCAGAGTACTGGGATCATAGGCATGTACCACCATTATTGGCTGGGAGGAAGGATTTATAAAGGAGGATCCATGAAGCATTCGACTAGTTTACCCTTCCGCCTTCTGCTATGGGAGGATGCAGCGAGAAGGCCTACAGCAGACACTGAAGGCTGGCATATTGAGTTTGGACATCTAGTCTCCAGAACTGTGAGAAATAACTTTCTGTGTGGTATTCTGCTACAACAGCAAAGTTGGACTAAAGCATCGATTAAGCCCACGATCTGACACTTTGGTTATAGGAGAGATGTGGAGGCAATATTACAACTAGGGGCTTGAATGAGGGAAGATCCCATCTACAGAAGGTGGAGAATTGGAGGTAAAATTGCTCTTCCCCTGTGTAAGGCTGGGAGCCTTAAGGGAAAAATTATGGTGGGTAAGAGAAAAGAATCAGCTAATTACAAAGGAAAAGTGACGAGGAGTTTTCTACCTTGGGGTGGAATCTGAGTGTAGAGAATAAAAATTTGTGCCCCTAAAAACTCAAAATCACAGGCCCATGCTATTCTTGTGTTTGGGGTTCAGATTTACATTAGCTGCAGGGTCTAGAAATCCTCAAGCAGAAAAATAGACATAAAAATTTGGATCACAGAATTCTTTCAGAGTGTACACAGCCTCAAAATGCGTTATAAAGGATTTCCACAGGTAAAATGTCACTGAACAGAAACTCAGAATCTAAAAATACAAACACATGGGAGCAATCTACCTTGAAGAGAAGTAAATGACAACCAAGAGCAGCAGTGGCCTCTAGCAAGTTCAGGTAACAAAAGTACAGCGAGCTGAAGTATTATTTGAGACCACAAGGGGAAAGCTGATTGACAGGTAGCTGAAGATTTACTACTGACATGTTTGGGCTGAAAGAACTAAAAGATGTATTTTTAGCAAGCAAGAAAGCTTGGAATCGAAGAGAGAATGTGAGCAAAGAGAATGCTACACTTGTGAGTATGTACAAACAGGTATGAGTTGTATAACAAATAGTAACAATGCTAATGACTAATGAAAAATCGGGGCAACACTGCATATAAAATGGGATGAGAGAATCAGTTAATTTGTTTTCAAAACTATATATATTTGTAAGAAGGGTAAAGGCAATGTTACATTTGAGATCTTAAGTTTTCAAATTAAAAATGTCATTTGTAGTTACTAAAATAGCATAAATAGAATGTAAAATTGCCAAATCAGTACAAAGAAGGCAGGAAACTCACTCAATTCAATAGAAGGCAAGAGACAAAAAGCAGCTACAGCAGTAATGAGCAAACATGGTCAATGGAAGCCACAAAAAGATGGTCCAAAAGAGCTACTGTTAATACCACTGAAAGTGAGAAAGGCACTGTAATTGAGAAAGGGTCACCTTTTAAACATATATCTTAAAGAATGATGTGTGATATAATGGTATATCTTATATCTGCTTTAAAATATTTCAGAGAAAAGAGAGGAAAACCAAAGAACAGATGAAGCAAATGTGGAAAACTTTTGCTTATTATTGTATCGCACGCAGGGATGAAGACATAGGGGTTAATCGTATTAGTTCTCTAACTTCATTTTTATAATAAAGTCTGAAAAATTGTAGATTTCTTAGTCATCTAAGCTATCGCTTTCAGATATATAAGGTCTAAAATGTTTACCACTATGCTTTCTTTCTCAAGAAACTGTTTGAGGATATATGTTCTACTAAACAAGGAGTAAATCAAAAAGAGAAAGACCTGACCTGAGATTTGGGAAACAGCTCCAACCCTGTCAGGAGGGGACAAAATCCTAAGAATGATGGCTGCTTCTCAGGTGTAGGGAATAACATGCCCCCAGAACGAAATGGATAGAATGTGTTTATACTGAGAGGGAATTTTCAGATCTGGTAGAATTTTTAAGGGACAATTTAGTGATGTCAAAGTATCTAGAAAATGAAGCAAATGAAACAATTAAGCAATTATTAAAACGAGGGAAAGCAAAAAGTTGAGAAAGAGAGCAAATTTAATCAGTTCATACGGCAAACAATTTACAATACTTACCTGGCTACACTATCGTGATACTGAATACTGATTTAACCACAATAAGCGACAGTGATAAATCAGGAAGACAGAATGAAGAAACTTGGAGGTGTATGTGGGATTGAGACCAGCCTGGGATACACAGTGAGTTCAAGGCCAAAATGAACTATATAGTGGGACACTGTCTGGGAGAAAAAAAAGAGAAAGGTGAGAAAGGTAAGGAGGTGGTGAATGTGTGACAGGGACAGGTTGCAATTTTAAACAGGCTGTAAAGATATATACTTCTTATTAAGAAGTTGCCAAAGATTTAAAGAAGGAAAGCGTTAGCTTCAGGAATATGGTGGGGGATGGGCTGATGGGGTGGCCTCTAGCAGGAGGGAGCCTTTAGTGAAAATGCTGTCAGTTATGGTGTGCTCAGGAAACCATGAGGCTGGGTGTGGTGGGGCACACCTGTAGTCCCAGCACTGGGGAGGCTGAGGCAGGAGGATCACTGTGAGGTTGAGCCCAGCCTGGGCTACATAGTGAGTTCAAGGCCAGCCTGAACTACACAGAGAGATCCTGTTTCAAAAGGAAGGAAGGAAGGAAAGAAAGACAAAGAAGCTGGGGATTTAGCGCAATGGTTCTGGCCACTGCTTCACAAGCGCAAGGACCTGAGTTCAATCCCGGTACTAAAAAAAAAAGATTTGTTTATGGGCCTGGGATGGGCCGGGGATTTAGCTCAGCGGTTCGGTGGCCTGCCTTGCAAGCACAAGGACCGGAGTTCAATCCCCGGTACCAATTAAAAAAAAAAAAAAAGAGAGAGAGAAAGAAAGAAACAGAAGTTTAGGAGTGGGAGATGAGATCAGAGAGGTGGTGAGGTGGAGGAGGCACAGAGGTCGTGCAGTTCAAGGGCTGCTGCAGGGATTTTCACTGCATGAAGCGAGGCAGGAGCCAGCTCAGCATTCTGAACAGAGGAGGGAAACAAGTGGGTGGTATTTTAAAAGGATCGTGTCAGCCACTGCGGTGGGAACAGACTCCAGTGGGCAAGGTGAAAAGCGGAATGACCAGTGAGAAGTCCACCACAGCACCCAGGCTAGAGACGCTGGTGGTTCGTACCAGGGCGCCAACACTTCCTGGGGACAAGACAGGCATCAGGATGCACCTGAAGCTGTGGTCTGAATGCCTGGAGGGATAGGTTGTGCTGCTACCTCCCGAGATGGACAGAGGCAGTAAGGATACCATTTCAGGTGGGTTACAGTTGAGACGTGTGTCCGGTATTCGTGGGGAGATGCTGAATACTTGTATGGTCCCATACGAGTCTGCAGTTTGGGGTTAAAAAGTTCACACTGAAATATAAAACTTAGAGTGTCTGCTTACATATGGCACTTTTAAAATTGAGAGACTGGATGAAATGACTGAGGAAGGGAGTATAGATGTAGAAGAGACCAGCGATCAGGGACTAAGACGGAAACTAAAGTGCAGAAGGAAGCTCTTGTCCTTCCCAAAGCTGAATCCAAAGCCAAGGTTTTGACAACCAAGAAGGCAGTGCTGAAAGGTATCTAACAGATGCAAACATACACGCAATCTAGTCTTTGTCCCATCTTCTGGCTACCCAAGCCACTGTAGCTCTGCAAGTAGCCCAAATACCCTCAGAAAATCACCCCCAGGAGAGAAACTTGACCACTATGCCATCGTCAAGTTCCCCCTGACCACAGAGTCAGCCATAAGGGAGAGAAAGGACAACAACACACTGGTGCTCATTGCAGATGCCAAGGTCAGCAAGCACCAGCTTACACAGGCTGTGAAGGTCTACTGATCAGGCCTGGCAGAGAAGGGCCGTGTTCCACTGGATCCTGCTTACGACACTTGCATGTTGTCAACAAAATTGGGATCATCTAAACTGAATCCATCTGGCTAATTTTAAACCTACATTTTTTTCACTATTAAAAAAAAGACAAAAGATTAAGCCTGCCGTGTCCCTCACAAATTAAGAGGTTGGAGGAACTAGAGATGGACGGAAAGACCACTGAAATTATTGAAAACCAGAATGGTGTAGTTCTCAAGGAAGCCCAAAGTAAATTGAGGTAGAGGGAGTGATGGGTTGTGATGTTAAAAGCTCTTTATAAAATGACAGTTAAGAACCGAGCTTTGGATTTGGCTTTTCAGAGGTCATCACTGATTTAGACAAGAACACTTTTGGTAAAGTTGGAGATAGCGCTGGGTACAAAAGCTTGATTGGAGTAAGTATAAGAATGAAAGAAGAAATGGGGACAGTGACTATAGACAACTAGTTCAGATGTTTTGTTACACAGGGAAATCGAGATGATAGCTGGGCAGGAGGCATTTTATCCCCGATTTTAAGTTACACTGCAAAGCTACTGTGATTTAAAAACAGCCTGGTACTGGCAAAAAAAGAAAAAGAAAAACACATCCAAAGATCAGTGGAACGGAATAGAAGATGTAAAAACAACTCCAAGCACACTCAGCTACCATATCTTTGACAAGGGGGCCAAACACCTTCACTGGAAGAAAGCATCTTTTAAAATGCTGATGGAGGGCTGTGGATTTAGTTCAGTGGTGCAGCTGCCTGTCTTGCAGCCACAAGGTCCTGAGTTTAATCCTGAGACCCCCTCCGCCGCAATGCCGATGGAAGGCCAGGGATTTAGCTCAGTGTTGCTGCCACCTGCGTCACAAGTGCAAGGTCCTGAGTTCGATCCCTAGTACCAAAAATAAAAATGATGATGGGAAAACTGGCTTTTCACATGCAAAGTATTGAACCTTGACCTACATCTCTCACCATACACTAAACTAAAATAGAAATGGATCAAAGATCTAAATATAAAAACAGCAATATTTAATGTGCAGGAAGATAGAATAGGTAAAACTCTAGAAGATGTAGGAATAGGTAAAGACTTTATAAACAAAGCCCTGTTCTCACAGGAAATACTACAAAGAATCAACAATAACAACTGGGATCACATCAAATTAAAAAGCTTTTTGCACAACAAAAGGAATCACCAACAGAGTGAAGAGACAACTCACAGAATGGGAAAAAAATTTTACCAGCTACTCCTCAGACAAAGGACTAACACGTAGAATATATAAACAACTAAAAAAAGTCAGACTTCCCAAATTTAAAGACCCAGTCCAAAAAGGGGCATCTGAAATGAATAAACACTTTTCAGATGAAGAAGTAAATAAATAAATGGAAAAAAAAAATGCTCAGCATCACTGGTCATTCGAGAAATGCAATTAAAACAACACCAAAATTTCATCTTATTCTAGAAAGAACGGCTATCATTAAGAAATCAACTTCCGGGCATGGTGGCGCACGCCTGTAATCCCAGATATTGGGAAGTAGGAAGAACGTGTTCAAGTGGGAAGGGGAACGAGGGAGTGGGGAGAGGGAAGGGAAGAAAGGGAAAAGGAAAAAAAGTGGAGAAAAGGAAAAAAAATGGAATAAAAGCTTTTGTAAATGGGAGGGGAAAAGGGGTTGAAGGAAGGGGAGGGGAATGGGAGAAAAAGAATTAAGATACATCATGCAGGTACAGATTCCCTACGATGGATGTGATCACTATGTATGACAACTGTGTACTAATAAGAAAATAAAGTCAAACAAGGAAAATAAAAAAAGACGGTAAGTGGCAGGAAATGGATGTAAGAGAAATTTTTCAGGGTGTGCTGTCAAAAGACTGAGAACTGTGAAACCACCTAATGTACACTATTTCGGCACTTGTCAACATTTAAAAAATGTCTTCCAGAAAAGGGCTAAAGACATAGGGCAAGTGGGAAGGGTAGGGGGAAGGAAATAAGGGACAAGAATAAATGTGAGAAAAGGAAAAAATGGAAACAAAGTCTTTGTAAATGGAAGGATGATCAGATATTGGGAAGTAGGAAGAACGTGTTCAAGTGGGAAGGGGAACGAGGGAGTGGGGAGAGGGAAGGGAAGAAAGGGAAAAGGAAAAAAAGTGGAGAAAAGGAAAAAAAATGGAATAAAAGCTTTTGTAAATGGGAGGGGAAAAGGGGTTGAAGGAAGGGGAGGGGAATGGGAGAAAAAGAATTAAGATACATCATGCAGGTACAGATTCCCTACGATGGATGTGATCACTATGTATGACAACTGTGTACTAATAAGAAAATAAAGTCAAACAAGGAAAATAAAAAAAGACGGTAAGTGGCAGGAAATGGATGTAAGAGAAATTTTTCAGGGTGTGCTGTCAAAAGACTGAGAACTGTGAAACCACCTAATGTACACTATTTCGGCACTTGTCAACATTTAAAAAATGTCTTCCAGAAAAGGGCTAAAGACATAGGGCAAGTGGGAAGGGTAGGGGGAAGGAAATAAGGGACAAGAATAAATGTGAGAAAAGGAAAAAATGGAAACAAAGTCTTTGTAAATAGGGAAGGATGAAGGGGGTGAAGGGAGGGCAGGGGTATGGGGATAAAATGAGAACCAAGATCAGCCATGCAAGGGTACAAGATCCTTGCAATGATGAATTAAAAAGTACCAATAAACTCGATAAGATAAAAAAATGTCTCCCATGCAAGGGCAAAGAGAGTACCATAGATACAAGTGTTTGTTAGAACTGCCTCTTTGACATCTCATCATTCCAAAAATGTTAGAGCACATGGGAGTGAGCAGTATTGAGGTTTTTGTTGTTATCTCTGTGCACAGCTCAGTTTGTCTCTCCACGTTGTCGGGTGGGGAGGAATTTCTGGGGCAGTCTGGCCCTGGCCTTGTATAGGCAGGAAAGAAGGGCTGCAGTGCACCAGTCGGGGTGGGCTTTTCACAACACAGCTTCTCCTTGGTAACAGGTGGGAAGGCCGCGTGTGCCAGTGTGGATGCTGGTAGGGCGGTGGCTCTGGTGTTGAGTGATTGTGGATGACTTCTTTCCATGCCCAAAGAGATACATTATTATCCCTATTTTTCACAGAATATGAAATATGAAAGAAGCCGGTAGAGTTTACATAGCTGGTAAGCAGCAGAGCACAATGAAAATTCAGGGGCTCTGACCACAAATCCAGTTCCACGTTTATTACAGCTATTCACTTCTCTGCCACATGCAAGTAAGTTCGCAGGTTCTTTGGGCATTGCGAAGGGGAGTCGTTAGCTTCCTAAAAAGGCCAGAAAAGGAATAAAGTGCTGATACACTGTACAAGGACAACATGCGTGAACCTTGAAATCATTATGCTAAGTGAAAGAAGCCAGTCACACTGGACCACGTATAATATGACTCCACTTATCTGAAGTATCCAGAATAGGAAAATCCATAGAGACAGAGCATATTAGTGATTGCCAGTGGCTGGGAAAAGGGAGAATGGGGACTAACTGCTAATGAGTTTAGGGTTTCTTTTCTGGGTGATGAAAATGGTCTGGAACATTCTCCAGATAGTGGTGATGACTGCGTAATATTTTGAATGAATGTCACTAATGGCAAGTTTTAGACGCTATCTTACTACAACAACAAAAAGCAAAGATCTGGAACATGTCTAAGGTCTCTTTAGTTCTAATAGTCTATAGTTCTATGAATTGATGTGCAAAAAAGTAAACAGGTCTATCTGTGAAGGAAGAGAGGAGTTCCCTGAAGAGAAGCTATGACACGTACAGAAGAAGGGAGCAGTTGGGCACAGTAAGACACTGAAAGTCACTTAGGACTATGGATGGACAAGAGTGGGAGTTGGTCACAGGCAAAACCAATCCATTGACCAAACACATCATCGCAGCTCAGCAGAGTCCCCTTTCTGTATCCAGCCCTGACATTTATCACCAGAAGGTGGAGAAAGCCATTCAGTTTTTCCAGGGAGCTCACAGTCTAACAGAGAAATCTACCACATGGGCAGAAAACAGTAAAGCAGGCCCTTCTAGGTACTGAATTGCAATGTCCAGTTCCTGAAGGTTGGAGACAGTCAAATGTGGCCAGGGCGCCGGGATTGGGCAAGGATGCTCTTTGAGGGGCTGGGCACAAATGAAGATCAAATATGTGTGCTAAGTATACCTAGCAAGTTCACTAAAATCTCGTTTTGCACAAAGCAAAAACAAACAAAAGCCACAGGCACTTTTAATAATCTGCCCTAAAGTAAAAGACCCAATCAAGAAAATAAGCAATTAAAATGAAGAGACACTTCTCAGAAGCAATACAAATAGCCAATAAACACACGACAAAATGCTCAACAGCACTGGCCATGAGAGAAATGCAGATTAAAACAACACTAAGATTTCATCTTACTCTAGAAAGAATGGCCATCATCAAGAAATCAAATGAATTCTGGCAAGACTGTTGGGGAGAGGGGAAGGAACCCTTCTACAGTGCTGGTGAGAATGTGAACTAACAGAACCATTATGGAAATCAGTATGGAGAGTCCTCAAAAAACTAAAATAGAAATTCTATTCAACCCAGCAATACATCTCCCAGGTATATTTCTAAAAGAGTTAAGACATCATACTATAGTGATACATACATACACGTGTTTATAGCCGTACAACTCATACCAGTTAAATCTTGGAAGTGGCCCATATGTTCATCAGCAGATGAACAAAAAGAAAATGTGGCATATAGACACAATGGAGTACTATTTAGCCATAAAGAAGGATAAATGTGAATCATTTATAGGAAGATAGCTGCACCTTGACACCTAACATTAAGTGAAATAAATCAGACACACAGGCACAGATATCACATGGTTTTTTCTTTTATAAATAAGAAATAATTAAAGAGCAAAATCAAAGATAATACAAAATAGAGAGAGATCCTTTGCAAATGGGGAGAGGAACTAGAAATGGAGAGAGGGAGAAAGGGGGAGGCTAAGGGGAAGTAAAAGGAATGAAGATGGGTTATGTACATGTACCAACTCCTCACAATGAAACTAATCACTATATACAGCAAAAGTACTAATAAGCATTAAAAATGTAAAAAAAACCCTGCATTATGTAAAACTTGGCTAGAATCTTCCTTCCACATCACACTTTTTGGAATATGAACTGGATACTGGCACTATTAGAAAATGATTAATTGCTACTCACCACATAATGGCTACGCATACTTCCTATAATCATTTTGTTGCAGTAATTACAGTAGATTTTCCTTTCAGATCCTTTTCCTGGGTAAGCACAAAAACAACACCACAAATGACTGCCCTTGACGATGGCCACCCTAACTCTCCCCCACCTGGCCACATGGCCTGTACTCATGAGCAGGAACTGCCCACAGCCTGCCTGGTCTTGGTTTCCCACACAGCAAGCACTCTCAGCCATATGGGCAACCCTTAGCTAAATCAACCATGTTAAGCTGGAGATGGTGGTGCATGCCTGTGGTCCCAGCCCTCAGGAGGCTGAGGCAGGAGAATCACTCTGAGTTGGAGTCCAGCCTGGGCTATATTGTGAGCTCAGGGCCAGCCTGAACTACATAGTGAGACCCTGCCTCAAACAGCCAAACAAACAAATAAACACCCATATCGTTTCCTTTGTGTTCACGGTGTGCCCCCAGGGTAGCATGCAACTTTGATGAAGACAGGATTTCCTGGAGCAGAGATGTTTTTTTTAAGACAATGAAGGGAGCCATATGCACAGGTGTCAAAATATTCTTTCGTTCAACCAGTTTCCAAGCTCTGTGATTCAAACAGATGTCAACTGTACACGAGGCTGTGTTGAAGCCGTGTTGTACTGAAGTTGTGTTTCTGACTGTGTTGGCTGTATGAAATGTCAGCACATCAGAATGAAAGAAATAGACATGAATTTCCCACTTTCCACGATTTCATGGCCAATTCTGACCAGGGGTAGATGGTTTACTAGGAGATATTTGTGGTCTGAAGAATTTTAGGCCCTCTCCCCATGATACCACAACCAGTAAGGTCAACAACAAAAGATCTCTCACCTTAATGGCTGTGTCCTCAGTAAATGCACCATCAGAAAGAGGTAACTGGGACACAAGGACATGAAGCCAACCAGGGAGCCAACATATAGGCCCAAAGGTCAAGAGGGGCCACAGCTGGCTCTCGTCTGGCTTCACTGATGGTGGACAGAGCTGTAGATTTTGTGCTGGGAAACTTAAGCATCCAGTCTGATTTCCACTTCTAGTGAGCCCCCGCTTCATTCGCAGCGTAGGTTTCTCATCTCTAAAAGGATTCAGGTGGCTCTCACCAGGCTAGGTTTGCGCAGGAGTTCAAAGAAGGCCCCTACTTCTAAGGCTTATCACATCTTCCTCACTTGGCTGTGCAGCTCCCAAACTGCTGCCTCCCCCCCGCCCCCGCATCTTGGTCTTCCTGGAGTAGTCCTGTAAAGACCACAGAAGATGCACAAGAAGGCCACTCTGGTGCATGGTGCAGAACTAGAATAGTCACTTTAATTGAGACATATGGAGTGAATACCCTTCTTCTCTGTGCCTTTGGATTTTTGTTTCATTTTGTCTTTTTGAGACAGGGTCTCACTATGTAGTTCAAACTGGCCTTGAACTCACTATCTAGCCCAGGATGGCCTGGAACTTGCAGCAATCCTTCTGCCTCAACCTCTCAAGTGCTGGGATCATAGGTGTGCACCACCACAGCTGGCCCCCTTGGGGGATTTTGGCCTTTGCATCCCACCCAAGAGAGGCTCTGGGGCTTGTAGCTTCCCTCTTCCTCCCCAGCGTTCCCTAGCTGCTCACCTTCCCTGAGCAGAGCTGGTTGATGCTGACAAACATCTTTGTGCTGGGCCAGCTGCCAGAGCAAGAGAAGCTTGCCACAGTGTGGGCAGTGCTCGGTCTGGCTGTCACAGTGGGACTCGTGGGTCTCTAGCTTGCTGAAGTGCACAGTCAGATCACAGAACTTGAACTTGACAGAGTGCCCCTGGCATTCCTTGGTCTGTGAAAGGGAGCAAGGAAGGGTGTGATCACTGGTCACTGGGATTGAGGACAAATCAGGGGACTGAGCTCATCTTCCCAGGGAATTGAAACCAATTACAGAGAGTGGTGGCAAGGGCTGGATGTACATGCTCTCTTGGGCTCTTGAATCACAGAAAAATCCTTCTGTCCAGCATCTGGATGCAAGAGGACCGGTGTGCCCAAGGTGGTTGGTTCTTCCCTGCTGTCTAAGGCCAGCTGGATAAGAACAGAGTGGCCTCTCCTCCCTCCTCCTTTTCTTTCCAGTATCGTGCCTGACTCACCTCATGCAACTCCAGCTAGGACTTCTGCACACACTGTGGAAACATTACACACATGACCTAAACACACACACACACACACACACACACACACACACACACACACACACAGACATGGGCTCCAGCCTGCAGCCCTGGCCTTTCCCCATATCCGCCTTGACTTGAGATGCTCCAGGCCCAGATTTATGGGCTCTCAAGGGTGTGGCTCAGGTGTGGCTACCTCAGTTTTCTTCCATCACCCAGCCCAGTGCTACAAAAAGTCTTTGCTGGACCACTTTGAATTGAAACAGATGTCCAACTTGAGGATTTCCACAAAGACAGATGAGAGGCCCACGAAGGTCTGAGATAAAAAAGCAGGAAAGAAAAATGAAGTAAATGTGTCTGCCTTCTGGGGGCCACTTTTCCTGTTTATCCTCTTCTTGAATCTCACAACATTCGACCTTTCTTGAAACAGGAACCCCTTGTCTTGTTGGATTCATAAGCCTGCAGGGAAAGGACTGGAAAACTGGGCATGGATGGTAGCATGTACTTGTTTTCCCAGGACCTAGTAGGCTGAGGCAATAGGATTCAGAGTTCAAGGTCACCTTGTGTTACATGGTAAGGCTCTGCCCCCCCAAAAAGGGAAAAAAGAGAAAAAGTTGGAAAAAGGGGTAAACTTCATTTAGCTTGAGAAAAACAGGATTAGCATTTTCTTTTCACAAACGGGTTGAACTTGGAGATGCTACAAGATTCACCCCGCAGGGGCCTCTTTGAGTCCTGAGTTGCAGCAGGGCAGACAGATTCCCCCCCACCCCCGTCAGGCCCTGTCTCTCCTGCCACCTGCTCACCTGTGCGTGCCTCTGCTCACAGTGCTCCCTCATCTTCACCACCGGGACAGGCTCCTTACACTTGGCGCAAAAGACTAGGAACCGCAGGCAGTGGGCCTCGTGGATGGTGAAGTGGGCAGAGGGCACACTTCTTCGGCTGCAAGAACAAGGGGGAAGAAGACAGCATATAAAACAGGGAGTCTGATTCACACCTAGGGCTGGCTGTCCAGAGACTGTCTGCATGGAAAATAGGATGGTGGGGGTTGGAAGGCCCCCCAGGGAGGTTTGGGGTGAATGCGAGCTGCATTTCCTGGCTCGTGGGATGGTTTCACAGGTATATAACTTGTGTCAGAAGGTGTCAAACGGTATGTTAAAAGTTGCAGTTTCTGTCAATGATACTTTAATCAAGCTGTTATAAAAATGAAATAACAAAATCCAAATCTTTTTTCCTGTTTTCTGGTGCACCTGCTGGTCTCAAGTTAGTAACACTTCCTGGAAGGGTGGAAATGTTTAGAATTTCCAAAGCAAGGGACTGAGAAGCCATCCCCCTATCCCCTGCCCCAAGGCCCACCTGTGGTAACCACTAGAGAGGGCTGGAGGCCCTTCTGCTACCCAAGCAGGTGCTTTTCTCTAACAGTCCTCATCACCAAGAAATGACACTTTTCATTTCCATCAACTCTTGCTGCTGGCAGCTTGCATGAAAGGAAACTCAGAGGCGGTAGCCCTAAAGGCCTAGATGTCTAGGAGAGGTGCACGCCCGCGTCCCTGAACAGGGGACATCCACTGCTCTTGGTGTGAACACGCTGCACAGGCAGATGCACATGGGCATCTTCACCTCCTCTTCCTCTGGTTCCCTGCTGGGATCTGCCTGACCCATTCCCTCCCCTTTTCCCCCTGAGCCAGCTCAGAGAACAGAGCTCTCAGAGAGCCTGGCTGGAACAAAGCACTCTGGGGAGGCTCCACTCAGGATCCTGCCACAGGAGGGGGTTCAAGGGCCCCCACTTAGCCCTATAGTCCTGGCCCCTACTTGTCTCCCCAGCCCCTCTGTAGGTGAGGGTGAGAGGGACTCTCTCCCTCGGCCACTTTCACAGACTGGTGTGAAGACCCTATTATCAGAACCCCAAGTTAGGACTAAGCAATGAAAAACAGAAGCCCTCAGAGGCAAATCACCTGGCTATCCAACCTCAGGGCTGACCCCCAAAGCCTGAAATAGCTGAGCTGAGGGGAGGTTGTGAAGCTGCACAGCACTGATCAGCCTATTTAGAGCTGCTGCTTTCCCCACCCTCCTCAATCCTCCCCTTGACTCCCGGGTGTTTTCTCTGCACCGGACCACAGTCTCCTGGCATCAGAAGCAGCCTTCTCCCATCTCCCGTCTGGATAGCCTGCAGTAGCGAGCTGCCAGAGAAACTGGCTTCTTACCAGTTCCCGCACACCTGGAAGTCTCCCTCCATGTTCCACCGCCGAAGGCTTCCGGATGAGTTTCCTTCTTAGCAGACTAGAAAACAAAACTGAAAGTGTTTCCTAACCCCGCCCACAGGCCCAGGGAGGGGGACTTTCTGAATGCTTAGCCCTGGGTGACTGAGGTTCCTGGGGCCGGGCAGCCCGGGAAGCCCCTCTGCAGCATGTCCAGTCCCTGCAGTCTCCCTCAGCCTGAGCGTCTCTCCGTGCTGCTCTGAAAGCTACTTCTGCCCCCTCGAGGGTGCGAGTCAGGCCGCACCTGGGCGCAGCCTGCCCCATGCTTTCCCAGCTGTTCTCCTCGCATCTTCCCTCTTTCTCCTGCTCCCCTCTGGTCCTTCATCCGCAGCGAAGAGGTCCTGTTGAACTGGAGAGCTGCTCCCATAAGAAGCAGCCCCTTGGCCCTTTGTGCCCTGCTCTGGTGCAAGTCCGTGGTGACTGAAAGCAGGGTGTGTGGCGGAACTTTGGATGCGCGGGGTGTTTTGTGTCCAGTCTATGGGCTTTGGGTGCAGTCCTGAGGGTTGAGTCACCTATCACTTCGCAGCTTGGCGAGCCAAAATGAAACTTTCCTCCTTACATGTTGTTTATCTCCTGTACTTTGTCACAGAGATGGAAAGCTGACTAACACAAAGCTCTTTCGGATCAGTCCCTCCTGCATTCCCAGTAGGAGGGATACATGCGCTTTGGGTCTGGGAAGCAGAAAGTTGTTTGTAGCAGGAGGTAGTCACACATTGGCTAAACTGAACAGACATGGAAGGCCTCGTGTTTGGGATAGTTCAGCAGTATGTTAGGAATCTCCCCTCACCCACACAATAGTCTAAGATGTAAATTACCTGAGGCTATCAAAGGGGCAGCAATGGCCAGTTTCTTTCGATTTTTAAAGATACATTATAATTATGTAACTATGTATGAATGTGCTTTCTTTTTAAAGTAAATAGAGTATTACAGAGAAAGTAAAAAAAATTTTTTTTCCCCACCGCATTTGCCCTTGTGCCATCACTATTTTTAACCCAGTGTGTATGCAGGCACATTTTGGCTGGCGCAAAAGCCTGTCCCCATTCCCACTACAACACCGACCAGCACTGTGGGCTTGCATGACTTCATCATTCTGCCACTTCGTCATTGGCTAGTCGCCCACCCTCCCCAGCCCCAATCCCATAGAAACACTAGAGAAATGCTCGGTTGTGGGCTTAGAATTCCTTTCTAGGACACTGTGGCTACACGCTTGGCAGCTCTTGGGAGTTTCCGGCAGCCTCTTTGTGTTAGGTTTGTGGGTCAGGAGAGGGGGGTGAAGGTTGTCACAGGGAACCAATCTCTCAGATGTGATTTGGCCAGGCTGCCTTATAGTACATTTGGTACTGGGACAAGGGACTCTGGGCCTGACCAGGAAGCAGGAGTAATAAATAATACGTACCTGGATGCACTGTTTTGAGGATAAAAGAAAGAAATTTGATGTAAAAACTGTACAAGGTCATGGAAGATAAAAATGTATGAAGACGGTTTCAATAGTTGGCCTTGAGAAGGATGTTTTCCGGGTTTCATTCTTTCAAGGGATTGCTAAGCTTAGGAAAGTAATGTAATGACAGAAGTATTTGACTTCCCAGACAAAAATTATATGGTGGAATTGCACACACTTCTGTCGGCTGTGTCTTTGGAAGGATCTTGTGGTCAGCATGGGTCTGCGTTCTGGGAGACAGGATCATCTAGATTGCAGTCTCCTGAGTACAGTGTGTTTGAGTGGGAGTTTGTTTTTCAGACCTCATGCAGTTGCATCAAATGACTAGTCTCTGGGTGGAATTTAGGCCTGGGGATATCTGTGCTTGTGCTTGGGGCAGATTCCAGGCCTGGCTGAGCAGCAGAGTCAGGGAATGTTCTGGTAGCTCTTGCTTAGTTGGCAAGAGAAGGGGAGGAACCTTGTCATTAAACTCATGGGCAAGAAACAGCAACTTCGTGGATTTTGGTCAGCATGGTGGCCACCAGTACTTTTCCTTCTTTCTTTTCCTTGTATCGGAATCCTATTTCACACATTCACTGTCTTTCTCCTGGGTAAAGCATCTTGTCACTCCCCCACTCCCATCCAAGCAGTCCCAACCCAAAAAGCAGGTTCAGTGTTAAGGGCTTTCTCTCTGTCCCAGGTGATGTTTTTGTTATTTTTGGTCTCTCTTTCATTTATTTTTGAGGTGCTGGAGAAAGAACTCAGGGCCTTACTATATCCCCAGACAGGTGATTTTTAATTTAATTTTTATTTTATTTTATTACTATTATTTTTTTCAGTACTGGCCAGGTGATGTTTTTAGATCTCTCTCATGGTCTGGGCACCTTGGTTGCTGTCAAATCTCATGGGACACAAGACAAATGACCACGTAAGTCAGATTTTTATTGTCCTTTGTTGGAAAGCAAGGTGTAAAAAGGAAAAAAAACCCCTCAGATTCTGAGTATTTTCACTGTAAAAACTGTACACACTGTAAAAACTGTCAAAAATTGGAATTAACTTAATTTATATCATTAAGTCATTGTGAACAGCCTTCACTTGGACTCTCATTTTAAAAAAATACTTAGTATTTTCTTTTAAAATGAAAGCTTGTATGTGTTTGTGTCTTGAATCATACCTTTTACCACTCCTTGTCTCTATGAGTGTTTTTTTCTGCCCTGACCATGACCTCATCTGGTCTCTCCTATAATGGCTCACACTAGCTCTGAGATCTTACCATACCTATCTCTTCCCAATTTTCCACTCATGAAGTCATGTTGGTAGGTTGGACTTGGCTGTGTATGGTGGGAGTATTCACACCGTGGAGATTGATTAATACTGTAATCAGGGCACCCTTGCCTGGAGAGTTAGATTTTAAGCATTTAGTAACAAACTACTGCTTTTCTATCTCAGAAACAGGGTCTCCATGCAGAAGGGAAGGAAGAAAAATTTTAATTATATATATTATGACATATGAATTTATTCCCTCCCTAAAAGTGAAACAAGGAAGCAATTTTAATTTGTTTGAGCAAATATGTCAATATTGGTCAGGAAAAAAATGTGATCCCATGTTAAATTAGCAGGATATTATCTTTCAAAGCAAAGGGCATGGTCTGGGTTGAGTTATTATCCTATCCAAGTTCATTATTACAAATTGTGTACTATGGCATAACTTACCATATTTTGCTTATTAATTAATGCATTTGATAACCAAATAACCTATATATATCTGTCGTGGAGCTACAGTGACATACAAAATAAAATCCAGCTTTTAGTGAACTCACATGCCAAGATTATTGCAGGTAAATAGAAGGAAATGATATATTTTAATTGGGAGCGTCCGTGTGTGTGTGTGTGTGTGTGTGTGTGTGTGAGAGAGAGAGAGAGAGAGAGAGTGTGAGTGGTCAGATCAGATCACCTTCATGGAAAGGTCAGACCTAAAGGAGTATATGTATGGGGAGTGTTTTGCATGTTGGGGCTGAGGATGGGGTGAGATAAGGACATTCCAGGCTGAAGGTCACATACATGAGAATGGAATAGCACATTATATTTATAGACAAAATTAATTGTTTCATATGGGTGTAGCAAGCAATTAGAAGCAATGATATGTTCCCTTCTAGAAAGTAAGAAGCTGGAGAAGCTGCTTCCAGTCTCACATTTTAACTGAGGTGCTTGGCACATTAGCATTTAATGTACTTACTGATATGGTTGAATTTAGGTCTGCCACATTGTTGTAATTTTTACTGTACGTCTTTTTTTACCGTACATCTTCTGTTTTTGCTCCTCTGTTCCTCCTTTCTTTTTTTGGATTGTTTGAATATTTTTAAGAATTCCATTTTTATTTATCCATGAGGGTGATCACCTTTCCACCACATTAATGTAAGTCCATGAATCAAGAAGCTTACCAGAGCCTTAGTGTTGAATTTTGATTATAGATTTGAGTTTCCATCCACTTTAATTTCAGCCTAAAACATTTTGTTTTGTGGTGTAGATATTTTGGCATTTAATTATTTTAGTTGCTATTGGACACAGAATTTTGGGTTGATGATTTTTTTCTTTTAGTACATTAAACATGTTGTCTGGTCTCTGCAGTATCTGCTAAGAAGTCCATGATCATATGATCATTTGAGTTGTCATTCCGCTTTAAAAATATCCTATGCTGCTGCCTGCCTCTCAAGCACAAGGGCCTAAGTTTGATTCCCAGTACAAAAAAAAAAAAAATCTATTTTCTCAGGCTGCTATCATTTCTTTTTTTTTCTTTTATCTATGGTTTTTAGAAATTTAATAATAATTTGTCTATGTATAATTTTCTTTGTATTTACACTGATTAAAATTTCCTGAAGTTCTTGTACCTGTAAATGTATGTCTTCCACCAAATTTGGGAAAATTTCAGCCATTATTTTATTAAATTTTTTCTGTCCCACTTTTTCTCTCTTCTTCTAAGACACTGATTAACTGTGTATTAGGATATTCCAGGCCTGATGATATTGTGATTTCAGGGTTTGTGATATTTTCTCAGAAGTCTCTGAGGTTCTTTTCTATTTTTTTCACCTTTTCTTCAGATTGGGTGGCTTCTATTAACCTAGCTCCAAATTCACTGATTCTTTCCTCTGTCGTCTTCTTTCTGCTGTTAATTTTTAAGTCCGTATATTGTTTTTTTCAACTTTGACATTTCTCTTGTCTTATTTTTATAGCTTTTATGTACCTTCTGAAATTCTATATTTGCTTATTCATTACAAATATATATTTCTCTATTTCACTGAGCATGCCTAAATAGGTGTTTTAAAACCCTTACCTACCAATTACACCATGTGAGTCATCATGGGACTGGGTTCTGTTGGTTGTATTTTATATCTTGAGAACGGGTTGCATTCATCTGTTTCTTGGCTTTTAAGTAATTTGGGATTAAATTCTGGACCTTGTGAATATTATGTTGTAGGGCCATTATTATATTTCTCTGAAAAAGCATTGAAAATTTTTTTTTTTTAGTTTTAGCAGACCACTAACTGCATGCAATCACATTTTTTTTCATTAAGTTTATTGGTACTTTTTAAGTATACAGTGGTTAGCATGGGGAAAAAAGAGGAAAGCACTGGAGAGGATGTGGAGAAACTGGGTCCCTTGTAACCTGA